CGGTGCAGAGAGCGTTTTTAGATATGACAAAGGATTTGTAAATTCCAAGGAATTCTAGTGCAAATAAACTAGAGGGTGATTTGATAGGGCTTAGAGTGGTTTCAATAACCTGAATACTCTTGTCCACCCAAATTTGACTTCACCTGCCCTTTTCAATCGCAGTGCAAATGGCTGTCAGAAGGTAAATGTCGCTGAATTCAGAAAAGACCTACTTCTCTCATTCTTTTTTATCTGTGTGTAAGAAGGGAGAGGTAGCTACATCCTTTTTCCTTTTGTCGTGGTTCGTAAAGGTTGTCACAGTCCAAACGAAATGCTACCCACTGCTAAAAAATGGCGCCAACACTAAAGGAGTGGTTTTGTGACAAGAATACTCGTCTTTGCCATTCCCTTTGCTTCTGTTCTCTTTAATAAATCAACCTCGGTGGTAAAACGAGCATTCCATTACGTATGTCGATTTACTTTTTCAGCGCACGGAGGCCATTGATAACAGGGCTTTCATGCTGATAGAACAGAAACTTTTCCGTGCTTCTGTACACTCAAAGTGATCCAACTGTAGTTCATAGGGAAGAAAATCACCGTATCATTCTCTTTGTTTAATTGCTCAAGCTTATGTTAGGTTTGGATAGTCCGTAGGAAAACAAATTGCTCTAAAGTTCCTTCCGCCAAACCCTACAAAATGCTAGCTTTCATCTCCCAAGTGGTAACGATCTCATACCAGAAAGTTGCACCTTCATCCGCCTTTCTTGTCCCTTCTGTGCAATGTTTTTGAAGCATGTGAAAATTCAACCCTAGTTAGCCACTACAAGAAAGAGCCACGCTAACCTAACAGTTTTGTATCCAAAAGTAAAAAAAACCACAATCTATTAGTGATTTTTGCTTATGGCTTAAAAGTTGCTCTGCTTCACATAACAGAGTTTCATTTCAGAAGCCGTCCCAGATAACATTTAACTTTCCATATCCGTCTTTCAACTGCACCTGATTAATGCAGCTTCTTCCAATTGTTCCCTAAGCTTATTAAAGTACAGAAGAAGCCTTGTGAGCAGCAACGCCTTATGCATATACGTTCGTGGCTAATCTTACCATTTTCACATTCATTGGCCAAGTTAGCAGCCACATATAAATCCTGCAGGTTTCTGCTTAAGTGTTTTTCACTCTCCTTACACATAAAGTTGTGACTGATTAAGTCTCGGAATCATGCAAAAGAGCCTTCAACTGAAAATTTCACAGACATGCTCACTTCGTTTGATTCCACAAAGGAACAGCATTTGAAATGCCAAGTGATGCGATGCGATCTCGTGCATCAAAATCGTACAATCACTGCAGTGCTGCCTTAAGGGATGGAATTGATAGACTAGTACAAGTGCGGCTCCTAGCGCAGAGGTCTCACAGATGGCGCCTTGTCGGTCAACTGCCCGAAAATGGTTATCGTAGGCATGGGAGACAAAAACACTTGGCCCCTGAACGGGGGGGGGAAGGGAAAGAAATGCATAGAAATGCATAGAACAGACTCAGATGTGGACAAGAATCCACACAAAAGTTGCCTCGGCCTACACACTTTAACCTTTTGCAGACTTGCATCTGGGAGCGACACTATTTCAAATGAACGATTTAAAGAAGGGCGACCTTGAATTAGCTGCCAGTGCCATTGGCATCCTTGGTAAAGTCTAGTCTTCGACCGACTTCTGTGCATTTAGTATGCCTTTCCACGTGTCTATTTTTACGTCCATTTAAGAATTCAGATGACCACACATTCGGACAAAATTTCTATCAACTCACTGTTCCCTATTCTTTGAAAGATAGAAGTCAAATAGTAATGGCTTTA